GGCAGTGTTAGGAGAGCAGCCAGAGCAAAGCATGTGTGTAGCTTGTCTCTGTTTCTCTACAAACTTTGCAAACATGCTAATTTTAAATTAAACCAAGCCAGCTTTCCCATATGTACTCTTGTATGAATAACAGGCAGATTTCTTTTGATTTTGCTCAGGGCAAGCACATGTCTGCCCTCTTTATAAAGACAGTTCCCCTTGGAAAAAATTAAGTCCCTTTTGGTGTGTGGCAGCCAAGGTGTCACTGTCCTTCTGGCTCCATAAAGGATTTGCCTGAACTATTGCTGTTTGCTGCTCTGGTGTTGAGCAGGTACCTGCAGCCTCTCAGGATAGCTGCCAGGGACATCTCGGGAGGTTCACACATAGAGCTCCTACTAGACTTGCCAGTTCCTCAAACGATGCTGCCTTTTCACAGCTCCTCTCTTTGTGTTTGGGTGGAAGTATGGAGAGCACACCCATGATTTGTAGGAATGAGTTAGTCTAAAGTGGAAAATATCCTGAATGTGAGGGAGGTAAAAAACCTGCAAAACAATTTTGCTCAGAGAGGTAGAAATGCGCACCCTTGAGTAGCATTCTTCTATCTTTTGTTTGTGTGCGTTTTGGGCAGGTCAAGTTGTGGTGTTGGAGAATGACATTTGAGTGAAATTGCTTAGAGCAGCACACAAAGATGTCAGGTTTAGAATGATCTCGCTAAAGATCCATTTTGGTCTTCAAACCCGTTTCAACATCCTTTTAAGATCTGCAGGCTGCCTTAGGCAGTGAGGTGGCTGCTTTTCTCACTGCAGATTTCTGAACACTTGAAACTACTTGATATGATAAACTGCTAGAGTGATATTTATTAGGCTTTCTTTGTGAGTAAAACGTTGGAAGAAATGGTGGCTGATCATTCTCACAGGGAAAAACTGTCCGGTTAATGTTCGTAACTAAAGTATTTAATCATAATGAAATGATGTTGGACCTCTACATGGTGCATGCCCACCTGTGCTCACCATAGCACATTGTTAGAAGGTAGGAGAATATTGGTGCTTCAAGCTAGGGTTTTCCAGCTTGTAAATCATATAATACCATAAAATCAGTTTTATGAAAGCTGTAAGATGTTCTGTAACAGATTCTCTGCTTGTTATTAGATCATTTTAACTTACTTTTTTTTTTTGTTAAAAAACATTTAGATATGTTATTTCAAAGGGATTTCTGGGACAATATTGCTTTTTAAAAGGTTTGGCATTGTTCTGATGGTACTTTTATATATACTTAGTGGACTGGCACTGAGCTGAAGTGAAGATAGCATAACCCACCAGGCAAAGGGACACAAAAAGAGTTTGGGGAACAAACTATGGGGTTCTTTTGTTTTTAATTGGATTGTATTTCTTTTCCTTTTGTCCAGACTCCTTTCATGACTTACAGTCTTTCAGTTGCTGAGTGAGTGTACAAAATACAGCTTGGGGATCATATGGCTTGTTGCACAAATGCTACTTTTATGACGTTGGTGGACTAGTCTTCTATTGATAAGAATGCCCTTGAGAGCAGCCAGCCCTCTTCTGTATTGGAAAGACCTGCGGGGTTTGGCCCAGCTGAAGAAGTTTGACTGGATAAAACCTGTGTGTCCTGAAACAGCCTGACCTCTCCAGAAAATATAAAGTTAAATGCAGCTGCTCTTTAAGGACCATGTATACTTGCATCTGGTTTTGTTCAATTTGCCAAAGAGAGTGGAACTGAAAATATAACTTTGAAAGGCATTAATATGGGTGGTTTTGGGTAGTACTTGGTGGGTTTTTATATTCTTTATTGGCAGTGTTCAAGACCAGGTTGGGCAAGGCCTTGGGTGATCTGGTTTGGTGTGAGTTGTCCCTGCCCATGGCAGGGGGGTTGGAACTTGATGATCTTAAGGTCCTTTCCAACCCTAACGATTCTATGATTCTTAATCTATTTTTTGTTTTTTTTCCCTCACTAAGACAATGCTGCTTTGACTTTACAGTGCAACTGAGCTCCTGGGAGGAGACCTGGGTATGTGAGGGGTTCACATTCAGGTTCTTACCATTTTTCTGTGTATTAATAACAACATCAAGAGGAAAGAAACCTTTTCTGTTGTGCAGTCTGAAAATAGAAACAGTGAACTTGTGTATTGACACAGGAAAGCTTTTGTTGTTGTTTTTAAAATGTCAGATACTCTTCAGCTTTATTATTGACAGAATTGTGCGCCTTTTCAAGCTGCACAAGGCTTTTCATTGATTTTTGTGTCCTGGTATAAAAATAACACCAACTGGATATTCTCCAGAGCTATGAGTAAATTTCACAGAAGAGCCTGAACGTAAAATTCTGATTTAAAAAGACCTGTGGTCTTAGCTGCAGGTCAAAGAAAGAATTTACGTGTATTATTTAAATGTAAGTACATCTTGAAAAGCAGTTAGTTGAAAGTGACACCTTCTTGCTCACAAGATCTCTTTTTGTGCTAAAAGATTTGACTGTTGTAATAGCCTTGTAAAACCAGCATGGATAGGTTTTCCTCCTCTCCCCACTCTCTTTCCCCCAGATTTCAAGAATGCTCAGACAGTTCTCATTTACATAGGCAACAGGCAAAATTTAGACAAATTGAGTTACATATAAAATCACTTTTGGCCAACAAAGAAGTGGCACTAACGACAATAAATGGGGAGAAAGTAGTCCAATCTTAACTTCTGGATTCTGTGCTATGAGTTTGCTGCTGTGTATGACATGAGCAGACTAAGTCTGTAGACTAGTTGTTAGTAGTGGGCCCCATGACTCCCCATTCTTACAGATGACTTCTGTTTCCTTTATTGAGAAAATCAGTTTGATTTCTATATGTAAGTGGAAGTCTCTCACTACCTGAGTGTGCTGGGCCTCTACTACTGAACAAGCGTCAGCATGAGTGAATGTTGTCTCCCTAGCCCTGCCAGATCAAACTTCTCCTCCACCCATGCATAGGAGAGTCCCTACACACTTTTCCTTTCTCCCTATAGCATATGTGCACGTATTTCTTTGAAGATCAGAATATGACCTTTTCCAGACTTCTGTGTTTGACCATCTTTCCTGTTCTTACTTTTTCTGTTTATTATTGCTTAATCAGTTATTCTTGCTTGCCAGAGTTACAAACCTGATGTAGCTCCTGTGAAGGAAAACCTCGAACTAAGTCTTGGAGTTGTTTTAAGGAGAAAACGGTACAAATTTGTGATGAAATAGGTAGATAAGTTTTTTATACTGCTATCTGGGGAATTAAAATGTATTTTCAAATCATACAATTCATATATATACAGCTTATGTTCTTTTTTACACAGATGTTTCATATGCAAAGTAATGTGAAAGGTGCAAAGAAGAAAGGTTAACTCATTGAAAAGGCTGCAAGTTTCTGAATGATTGCAGCACTAGCAAATAATGTTTTGAAAAGTTAGTCTTGTAAAACTCTTTCTCTTGCTCTTCTGCAGATAATGGCAAAGATGGGGATAAAAACCTTGATTTGCTTCTGAGTATCTTGCATGCCTCAGCTGCCATCATAGCTTTAATACTAAAAAGTTATAAAACACTTACACATTTAGGCCTAGTATTAGATATGTGCAGCTGCCCACTTGCACAATCATTCATTTCTATGGAAATCAATTTGTACTCTCAAATGTGAGAGTATGAATTATACTCTCAAAGCTGACCCCTTTCTTTTTAATTTGCTCCACAGAAGGTACTTTCTTTTCATCTGGGAACATCTGCCCCAGAATGAAGACTTGATTACAAGCAATCTTAGACCATTTTTACAGCCATTTTTAAAAGGTACAGAAATGGATTTCTTGATGGGAAATGCTTCTGGTGAGAGCATGAACAATGCAACATAATGGTATGAGAAATTGTAGGCTTAATTGCAACAAGGAAACCTTGAGTTTAGACTCAGAGCCAGACTTGCAAATGGTATAAGCGTGTTGACATACCAGAAGTGCTGACTGAGAAGGGTTGAGGCATGTCTAGAGATGTTTCATGAGGTGTACAGTGCAGGCTAGATTCTAAGGAATGAGTTGGATAGAGCTAGTTCAGAATTCCAGTTGAGAGTAATGAGCGTATCAGACAGGAGCTCCCTGTTTTTCTGTGATGCAGGGCTTGCTTCCCTAATTCCCCTCCTCCAAGAAAGAATGAAAAGACAGGCAGAATGATTTTGTACATCTGTCATATTGTATCTTTGCTAGAAATACAATAATGTAGAAATACAGTTAATCACATACACTCTTTCACTAAATGACATATTTGAAGGGGTTCTTTTGGTTTTCATATGCAAAAACAGATTAAAAATTGCAGCAGAAAACCACGCTGACTCCTCAGCAAAGATATTCAGAAATGTTTGTTGCTCAAGTAATTGCAGTACCAAGACATTCTCTTGGGGTTGTATATTGGGCAGCCCGTCCTCCATGAAAGAGCAGAGGCTGCTGCCCTGTGTAGCAGCCCCAGCCAGTGTATAATGCTTACAGGAGAGAGGATTCACTGTTACCTCAGGCTGGCCAAGCTGTTCAGAGCAAATGAGCTCCAACAGTGACCTTCTGGAAGATTTACAGAAGGGAAGAGCAGAGTCAGACTTTTGTCTGGGTACTGCTATTCAACTCTCAGACACCTTCTAATACTTATTTCCCTATCTGGCCCTTAGCAACAACTTTTTGATCACATTGCCAAAAAGAAAACTGGTGCAGCAATGACAAAGGCTGATTTTCAGTGGCACTGCAGTGATCTGGGTAGTTTTCTTCTATCAAGCCTTTCACATTTAGTAGATAACCGTCAAGGTTAATGCTTCTTTTGGTGTCACTCTGTCACTTTGCTAATGCTGTTTCTTTTTTCCAACATTTTTCCCTTTTTAACTTTAAAGAGAAGAAAAATACAGAACAGGTTCACATTCATCAGAAAATCATTGTCTTTCTCCTGCACCCTCCCTGCCGTGGCCAAGGTGACCCTACTGCTATTGCTGTTGGCATCCTGTGAGGCAAGTCAGAGCCAAGGAAGAGGTGCTCTCCTACTGCTGGCAGTCTCATCATGTGGCACAAGGCTTAAAAACAGGACACAGTTCAATCATCTTTTTCAGGTGTGTCTTCTCACGGAATTCCTTTGCAGCAAGGTAATAAAAGATGGCATCCAGGCAGCAGTTGAGGTTGGCTATTATCATTGACACCTGAATGAAGAAGCTGATGGTTTGTTTCAGACTGCAGTCCGCTATCACGTGATGTCTTACCAGGTACTGCAGGCAGATTGCAAGGTGGACAGGTGTGAAGCACACCAAAAACACCACCAGGTTGATGATAATGACTCGTAAGGAGCCATTGCTTTCTACCTTCTTTTTAGCTTGACTTTTGTAATTCAGAAGAATCCAGATGTTTTGGGCAGAGCAGAAAACAATCACTGCAAGTGGGATCAGAAATCCAAAGATTTCTACAGAAACAATGAGGGGGGTGCTCCACGCCTGTTCTGACATGTTGTGAAAGCACTTAAAATTATCTTCCTCATGAAACACATACATTGGGGTGCTGCAAAGCCAGGCTACTGCCCAGATGAAGCAGCAAATCAAGATAGCCCATTTGGGGGATTGGTTAGCTCGACCTTCAAATGGGTGCCTTATGCAGATATATCTGTCGACAGTAATGCAGACGATGATGAAGATACTACCATACATGTTGACAAAATACAGAGACTCTATGAATGAGCACAGGAGTCTGGGTGCTTTCTTGATAGAGTAGTACAGCTTGAGTGGGAGCGAGAGAAGCAGCAAGACATCTGCAAGTGCGAGATTGATCATGTACACTGAAGTTTTGGTTTGCTTCTTCCAAAAACAGCAGAACACCGATAGAGCCATGGCATTGAGAACCAGCCCGAGAATGAAGGTAGGGATGGAGATCCCCAGCAGCAGGGTCTTTGCTAATCTGTCGATGTCTGCAAAGTTGCATTCCCCGCTGCTGTTGGACGTTTCTCCCCTAAAACAACAGAGAAAACAGGCTGGAAATGTGTAAGGCTCTCAGTGAAAGCCTTGCTGTATCAGCATGAGATACTTTTCAAACACAGCTCTGGGATTTTTTTGTTTTGAGCTAGATGCTTGTCTTTGGTGATTACTGAAAGCAAATCCTTATTTCAAGCACAGAGCTTTCTATTTCTGATTTGAGTGCTTGATCTGTTATAAAGGAGCCTGATTCTCGACACCAGGTGGTCAGCATCCACTAACTATCACACCCTTTAAAATAATCCCATTCAGATATTGAAGAGACTGACTTATTCAAACATACGCTTTCAAAACTCTGAAGTGTACTTGCCATCTCTAGTAACTTGTACATTTGTTGAAACTTCCATAACACTTCTGTTCCTTTTCCTCATGAAATTATTGTTCCATATTAAGGTGGGTCAAACTAATAGCTAGGTTTTTATTCTTATATCCATGATTCCCTATGTATCAGTAGTTCTTGCTGATGTCTTTTTACTACACCTGCATTTATATGGGTATTATAATTTCATATAGTGCTTCTATCTGATGCAGTTTTTTAGAAGGTAAGCTTAAGAAGATTGATATTTTATGCAGATATAAACTGAGTAAACATGTTTTCTAGCTTGTGCTTAACTTCAAGCATTAGATAAGTTTTGGATTTGCAAGTACTTTAACTGGTTATTTTAGATAATCTGGCAAAGATTAGCAAATAGTGGTTGGAACTAGATGATCTTATGGTCCTTTCCAACCCTAACTATTCTATGATCTTCATAATATTGTTCTTTAAAAAAGTATGATTCGTAGGGAATAAGTGTTACCACCAGTCTTAAAAACATATGTATGCTCTAACAAACTATGCCTTAAAAGTGCTTTTTGATAACGTCCTTTAATCAAAATCACAAAAAATCCTAATGAAGGAGAAGATATTGGTAGATAAAATTCCCAGTCCAACTCAGCTAAACAAATAATTCAAAAGATATTTTATGAGTAAGTTAAGACATTTTAAGAACAATCAGATCAAGAGGGGAATCTCTGCTTTGGAGGACAAAAAGTGACAGGTCATTCATAAGCACTACCAAATGGAGCTGAACTTTGCTGAAGAAACAATTTGTTTAGATGGCTAAAATAAAATATAAAATAAAAAGAGAGAAACATGGAGAACAAGTAGATCTGCTAAATATTAACTGAGAAAATGGGCTTGGGTTTTGCCAAATCTTATACCTCTGCTTTTCAGAGGGATGCTGATATTGTGCTGGAGGTCAGAGGTGGGTTGACTTAGAGGAATTGTGAGTGAAAATGGAAATAACTGTATCTGAACTCAGAAGGAACTCAGAGCTTAACATGTTCATATGAGTGAAAACAGTTTATTTCTAGCTCAGACTATGAAAAGAAGAGGCACATAAAGCTTGAAGGCCCAACCTATTAATTGCTATGAAGTGTATATGTTATTAGTGGATCTAGAAAAGGATTAATCTAGTTTATCTGTTGAAAGAAAGTATGGCATAGAATCACAGAATGGTTTGGGCTGAAAGGACCTTAAAGCTCATCCAGTCCCAACCCCTGTCACAGCCAGGGACACCTTTCACTAGAGCAGGTTGCTCCAAGCCCCGTCCAAGCTGGCGTTGAATGCTGCCAGGTATGGGGCAGCCAGAACTTCTCTGGGCACCCTGTGCCAGTGCCTCAGCACCCTCACTGTAAAGAATTAATAAAATGTGATTAAAGCAATTCTGTAACTGTTGAGTAAAATCTTCTTAGAGATTTTTAAGGAAAACTGTTCAATAATGGTTTGACACCTCCTGTCAGACCATTATCTTCTTTGAAGTGTCTGCTTTTTCAGATAAGGGTAAGGCTGAAGATTGAAGGCACCTGCATTTCAGTGAAGCATACTAGTTTCACTAGCATGCTTGTGAAGCACTAGGAAAACCGGATGTCAGAACAGGGGCTATTAAGTAGGTGAGCAAATGGTTGCAAGAAAGCTAATGAGGACCACAAACAGGCTGGATGCAGGCTACTAGAGGGATGCACAAATTCACTGAGACATCTCCTTGGCAGCTTTTCCTTCAGTGACCGCACTATAGGAGAAAGCATGACATGCTGCTGGTCAGGGGCAGATCCAACTGCAGTTTCCAGACAGCTGGACCGAGCCACATGAGTTGGACTTGTGCAGCTTTGTGAACTTGGGAAATAGCAAAGAGAAATCCGATTGTTATCAGTGAAAGGAGAACAAAAAGAAAACTTTGATTTATTAGTCAATCTGAGATTGAGTCAATCCCTTTGAGCGAGAAGCATGTGGCAGCTGCTTAGAAAACCATGTGATTGTGGTACATGAGAGGTGAGATAATTTCACTAAATGTGGAGATGCACTGAGGCCATGTGTTCAAGGGGTTATTGTAGGCAGATGCTGCTGTCACCTGAGGGCAGGACAAGTAATAGGAAATAGAGGAAGTAGGAGTGCTGTCCTGTTGTGTGTTGTGTGTCTTCTGTGACCAAGAACATCCTTTCAGCTGGGGAAAAAATCAGATGACATGAAGTATTTTAGAGGTGTGACACCTGTTAATCCAGCACTTTGTATTTTAAATGTATCAGAAAATGGCTTGTGATGTCTCATAAAAGTCCAAGTTTAGATTCTACTTTTATCAGGTTTCTGTCTTCACTGAATGCTTTTTCTTTAAAATTCATTAGTACCAAATAACGTACAGTATTACCCCTGCAAATTGTTCATGTTAAGAAAACGTTAGCCAGTCTCTAAACTGGTAATTTCCAGTACTCTAACAGAGTGCCTCATTCTCAAAAACTTGACATTTTTCATCATTTTACCCTCTTCAAATTTAAATTTCTCATCTTGAGATATCCAAGGGAACTGTTTGTAAACAGTCCGCACTCAGTAATATGTTTGCTCAAAATTATTCAAGATGCATTTTCATTGACAAATTACCTTGCAGTCATTTCCGAAGCACCACCTTTACTCCATTGTCCAAATTACTAATACTGATGGTATCCAACCTGCGAGATACTGAATTGTACCAAACACATCTTTCCTGTATGGTAAACACCGATTATATCTCAGTTGATAGTCATTAAGTATATGGAAGTTTCATATCTATCATGTTTCCTTTGTCTGCTTATGAGAATTTCTTTAGAGATAGTGTTTGAAATCTTCTTTCCCCCTCCTTCACTCTGTCCCTGACTGCTGTCTACTTTTCACAGCAGAAAGTCGAATTACTTCTATTTTAGTCATTCTTAGATGAATCTGTGCACATTGTTACTTACCCCTGCATTGTCTTCTGGGTGCTTGCAGTGGGTGATTCCAATAGTAGGTGATTCTTCAGTGGGTGATTCCAATAGTTACCCAAATGCTGAAGCCCGGCTTAGTGGTCTCCTCCTTTTCCACTTTTTAAGAGACAGGCACCAGGTTTTCTCTTTTCTAGTCTTCTGAAGAAAATTCCTCCATCTTGCAGGGGTTTCTTGAAGGAATTGCCTGCAGCTCTAGGATTGTTTCAGACAACTAGAAGCCAAATGTAAGAGCCTGTAATTAATTCAAGGAGTTTTTCTTCTCTGGTCCAGACCCTGTGTCATCACTGGTCCATTTGTTCTTGATTTTTCCTGTTGAGTGAGGTTTTTCCACTTCCTACGGACTAGTCAAAAGCTAACTGGGTTTACCAATAGCAGGAGTTAGTGGTTAAGCTAGCAGCAAATGTGTACTGACATAGGAAATGGCACAGCAAGGTTTTACAGAATTTGCTTTGCTAGGGTTTTTTGCAGCACAGCATGCTGTGAATGGTTTCCTCCTTATAGCTCGGATCTGAGTTCATCTGGCACTAGCTGGGATTCGCACAAGTCTGCATCTTAGCACAGACTAGTGACGACAGATTAAGGATATTCTTATCCATGAATACTTCATTAGCAGGAACATTCTCTGCATAAAATCTGTAACTGGCTGTAAGTGTAGTTGTAGCTTTAATAGTAAGGAAATGATAATCAGATGACAGAACACAGCAAGCCAATGATTTTTAATCTAGCTATACTGCAAAAGAGGAATGAGGAATATTCAAATCACTGCTTCAGCAAGGAATTTTACAGCATTTACCATGATCACCCTCCTAATCAACACAAAACAAATAATGTTACTGCTGCAAAGCAGACTTTGTTGATACTAATTTGCTAGAAGACTATTCATGTTATAGATAAATTATTCATTTGTGAACGCACAGGAGAAGAGTAAAATGGCTTAGTGCAATGCAAAGCAGTAAGTCCTGCCGTATCTGCCATATATTTCTTCTGTGGGTGGATAATTTCTTATAATTTTATTCTAAGTATTTTGATTACAACAGAATATATCTATGCTTATCACTAGAGCAGACCTCTTTTTTTTTCCTGCTCTATGCTAAGCAACACTACATTTTTGATCTTTATCAAACTAGCTTAAAAATACTGCTTTGCAATCAATGCTGCTATTATTTGGGGAAAAAAGTTATTAGTTAAAATAGGAATTACTTTACCTGAACCCAGCAAGCAGATCAGCAGCGTTGCTTTGGTCCCAGTTGTTCTATAGAGCATGACAGGATTTGCTTATAGACCATACCCTACCAGTGCTCTTAGTAAATGGCATAACCACATCCTCCTTATCTTTTTTTGTTGGTTTTTTGTTTTGTTTTTCCTTCCTATTTCAAAACACATTTTTTGTTTCTTTATATAGACAACTGAAGGTGAAAGAGTGCAAAGACCTGAATCCTCAGCTGTTTCCAGTCAGTAGTCAGTATAGGGCAAGCAGTGATTTGTCTCTGAAGCCAGTTGGCTTTGGACTGGACATTACCTTGTGTGAAGGAGCTGAGAGTTTCTATGGTGATGTGGTGGCTACCTCCAAATGCCCAGTTATTCCTTGAGCTGGAGGAGAGATGAGGATGTGGCAAGTTGTAGGAGAGGCTGTCATAGAAATAGGGTTTCCCCCCACTTTCTGCTCAGTTTGCATATTGGAGATCAGTAGTTCAGCACTCAGATGCTTTTGAAAGATACAGCTACTTATATGCATGCAGCTGTTGAACTATTTAAAGGGCATGTGCCAGTTTTCGCCAGTTGAGGTGGTTGATTCATAACTGCAAGTCAGCAAACAAATGTTTATTGGTGAGAGGAGTGAGGTATACAGAACACTAAACTAGTGCCTTGTATGCGAGTCATGCAGTAGCCAAGACACATTTTCAAGGTTTTTCCATTAACAGCACTTTCCTGACTGGAGTCTGAAGGTCTTCATCTGCCCTGGGAGGTGTCATGCAATGCACACCTTTCACAAAGGTAATGGTGCTTGCAAAGAGTAAACAGCAGGAATATGAGGGCACTCATCCACTGCTGTATTCAGGAGAGAGCAGGCAAGGGTGGGACACAGCAAAGCACCCAAAGCTGCTGGTCTCCTCAGGTCCTGGCCAGCTGTGGCTTGGCTGGGACTGGCATTAAATGATGTTCCTGGTTACATAAAGTGACATCTTTTACTGGGAAAAAAGTTAATTGCTGTTTGATGACAATGTGACATTCTCATACATAAGAATTTCATCTCCAAGCAACACAACTGGCAGGAGAATCAAACCCCAAGTAGCTCATCTGTGTGTATCATATGGGCACTTCATACAAATGAGTGCAAATAGTCTCTCTGGAACCTTTCATGTTGAAGTGTGAAACTTGCTTGTTTAGGGCTGAGACAAGCTCTTCTAACTTGTGGGCTGCTCTTTCACCTTACCCACTGCAACCCTTTGCTGTGGCTGTAACTACAGGGTGAGGGAAGCTCTAAGTGACATTTTAGAAGTTACCACCTGGCTTTGGAGGCACTTCGGTCTTTCTGGGGAAATCACTAAAATCATGGACAGGTTTGGGTTGGAAAGGACCTTAAGATCCTCTAGTTCCAACCCTCTGCCATGGGAAGGGGCAGGTTACACTCCTTGCAGAAAAAGCAGCACCAGCATTTGTATTCCAGGGCTTGGAGAAAAAAATACACACTAATCTCTTAATGCATTTTATATTTCCTGTCTCTGAGATCTGAAGAAGTAAAAAAAAAAAAAAGAAAAAGCAGAACCTTTGGAAGCAGTTCATGTAGGAGAAGAAACGAAGGCAGCCTGATTCATATCATTTGGGAAATGTGTTATGGAACTGTGAGGTTTCAAGAGCTTTTCAGCTTCTGTCTTCTCAGAGCTGTGGGCTTGTTACAAGTCTCAGTAACGGACTGAAATGAATCTGGGGTCACGAAAAGAAATCTAAGAGTGCAACTAAATATTAGGATAAAATAAATACACTACAATTACGTGTGACCTCTGAATGAATGAATTTGTGTCCTTTTGCAGCTGAAGAGGGCCTTTTGCAGGTTGGATTCTCTGGTTTAACTAGGACAACTTTTATCTTGAGCGAAGTCCTTTGTGATGGCAGTGTCTGTCACCCAGCATTGCTGCTCTCTAAACACTGAATTCCAGAGACCCAGGCACCTGCGTGGCTCTGAGGTTTTCAATGGGGAGGAGGGCTTTGTTTGGTTTAGTTTAATTCTTTTCTTATTTAATTAACGCTAAAATGTGCCGTGGTTCTTGTTTGTTTGCTTGTTGTGGTGGGGGGTGGGGGTGGGGAGGGGAGGGAGGGTGTGTTTTAGAGCTTGGTGAGCTTTCTCCATTTTTTACCCCCTAGGTGCAATAATTGCTGCTCATGCTAGGTCAGGCAACAGCAGCCAGCATTTGTCATTCTCAAGGAATCAAAATCTCTTTCGGAGGAAATGTTCATACAGTACAAAACCACATTCATTTGCATTACAGAATCATGAATTCTGCTGTTCTCTTTTTAGTGGAAAATATATTAAAGCAGCATTGCAGTTCAGCTTTCACAAATGTCTAGAGTATGTGTTTGCTAGAATGGAATACTTAATGGCCAGAAAGGAATAAGTCACATCTTCGATCTAGAATTAAGATACTCAAATGCAAATTAATCTAATTTCAAAGGTGGGGTCCAGTGTGTTTCTGTGCCATTCTGAAGGCATGTCTGACTTGTTCTTGCAGACAGCTATAAAATATCATCTCTGGTAACAGAACTTTATCAACCAGAGCAAAAAGAGTCAGGAAAAAGACATTGCTCAGTAGAGTGAGTGAAAAACTGAATGTCTTTGTCCTTGCAAAAAAGGGCTTGATGCAGTGGGGAAATAGAAGTCTTATCAGCCCAGGCCTAAGCCCAAGTTATCTTCTGTGTTGTGCTGTGGATGGTTTCTGATACTTCTGTGTGTGTTTAAAGGTTTCAAAACCTGGAATGCCAAAGTGAGTTAAGCTAACAAGTTATCTTGTTCCGAGCAGGCTATAACAGCTTGTAACTCCAAAAAGGGCTTCTTAAAAGGACACTAATTTCTCCTTCATCTAAGTCCAGCTAAGCAGCAGCATGCTTCTGGAAAGGAGAACTACACAAAGAGCTTACAAAGGTTTCTCAGGGTTGAATGTTGAGAGAAAAGGAACTGGTGAGCACCCAGTCTCACACTGGATGGTTGAGGGAGCAGAACTGTGGGAGCAATATTTTAAAGTACGGAGTATCTTCAGCTATATCTGATTCAGAAATTCACCAGCAGGACACCAGGCATGCAGGGTGGCATCTCTTTCATAGCTTCAGATACCCACAGTCTGAGCTGAGCTGAAATGATCTAATTCACCATAGTTCAGTTGGGTCTTTCAAAGACAAAAAGACTGGTTAGATATGGCCAGAGTCAGTCAGGTGCCAGTGAGGACATGTGTTTGATGGCCAGTCCATCCGTCCTCCAAGGCAGGGACAGAGCAGCTTGCATCTGGCCAAATGCAATTCTGGTCATGGCTGTACCAATGGACTATAACTTTTCCTGGGTATTTGTAGGAAGGAGCAGCCAGCCAAGCTGTGAGCCCAGCTCTAGTGAGACTGTGTAAGAATAGACACAGAGCTTCCTGCACAAATGTACTTTGCAGCCCTCTCCACAGAATTCACCATCACACCCCACCTGTGCCAGACTTTATGGTTGCTCAGCCACAGGCATTGCCATCCACCAAGATGCATGTGATTCTTATAGGTGTTTCTAGGGGATGTCTACAGACTGTATCTTTTGAGGAGCCAGCTGGGAAGGAAGAAATGCAAGGCTGCTGTGTTGATTTCCTAGAACAGAGAAAAGCTTTTGTTTAATGAAGAGTCCATGCTCACTGAGTGTGGCACGACCAAGGAAATGGTAGGTGTGCACAAAACTAAGGTTTTGAACAAAACCATCAGCTAATCTCACAATTATCCAGTAAAAGGAACTAACACTTAGCAGCAGTGTGGAT